TGAAGAGAGAGAAAGAGGAATGTGAATAAATCTCTAACAGTTTGCTGGGACAACCAGTTATTGCTTTGACCGTCACGTCGTTGATTTGCTCCACTTCATACCAGATTCGACTTGGCTCCATTTACTCGCATTTGTTTTAATAATGCGCGATCTCTTCAATCTGTCGCTGCTTGCTGGCAAATAGCCTCTAAGCGAGCAGATATAAAAGAGGGCTTCGTGTTCACAACACACAGGCGGGAAAACACATATATAGGAGTAGGTGATGAATGCACAGGCATTTAAATCGTGTGCACAGGGCCGTGACCATTGAATATGCGAAAGGAACGCTTATTTATTTATTCGTTTCTTCATTGTGGAGGTTGGTTGGCCGGGTGGCTGGGTGGTTGGATGTGTGAAGTTATCGTATCCCATGCGCATTTACGGCTATGCGGGTGATGATCGCGGGGCGCTAGGCTGAAAGTCGCTAATGACACTCTCGACACGTTAGTGGAGAAATGGTCGGGAGAATTGATCCTTTGCCACTATCCAATCAAGCGTCCCAGGTTCGTGCCCACCCCGTGCCCACAACCGTGCCCACCACCGTTCCCACTGGCAGCTTGGGCCACTTGCGGCCATTTTTCTTTGAGTCCGCAACCCCGACACTCATAAGCCCTGATCGCAGGCTTGACCCCCAAATGTTCACACCCCAGGGCGAATGGGTGGTAGGCGATGTCAGGCAGACTGCACACTAGCCTGAACTGTGGTGAATGGGCCAGCTGAGGTGTCTCCGGTGGTGTGGGCTGATCATATGCCGAGTAGGCCGGTCAAAAAGCAGTTGTGCCTGCTTTATATGGCGGCTAACAACCTGACCGCCGTTGCGGCTGCGGTTATGCTGTCTCCAACTGACGTGGCAGCAACAAATGCACCTCATAGGGAGGAGGGGGGGTGGGCATCTGCCAGAGGAATATAATGTAAAATGGCAAGGTGGTTGGTTGAATTTGATGGCCTCCTTTGCACATTGAGTTGACACTTTGAATTTATTAGATAACATATCCGGAGCTGTGGGAGGGATAATGGCTGAGACATTTAAAAAGCTCATCAGCCACACGGTCGGAATTCATAAACTTTGTACAGGAGGTTGGATACCGTTGCTCTTAACCCATCTCTCTATCCCAATCATACATTCGAGTACCTGTCTATATGTAAGTTGTCCTTTTCTCTGTA